GGGCTGCCAGGCACCTAGGCTTCACCCTAGTGGAACCCCAGCCCCGCACCACCCACAGCTTGTTTCGTTTAGCAGTCTTTTACTGAGCTCACTGGCATGTTGTGCTAGCCACAGATTTGCCTGAGACAGCCCCCTGCCTTCAGGGAACGTACTGCACTACCGTAAAGGAACAGTTACAGTGCAGCCCTTCTCCTAGAGCAGCGGTTCTCAACCTGTGGGTTGAGACCCCTTTGGGGGTCGAACGACCCTTTCACAGGGGTCGCCTGAGACCAGCGGAAAACACATATATAATTACATATTGTTTTTGTGATTAATCACAATGCTTTAATTATGTTCAATTTGTAACAATGAAAATACATCCTGCATATCAGATATTTACATTAGGATTCATAACAGTAGCAAAATTACAGTTATGAAGTAGCAACGAAAATAATTTTATGGTTGGGGGTCACCACAACATGAGGAACTGTATTAAAGGGTCGCGGCATTAGGAAGATTGAGAACCACTGTCCTAGAGGAAGAATTGACAGTTGGCTTGAACAGGCCAGGGGCAGCTGAATACACTGAGTTCTAAAAAGACAAGTAGGAGTGTGATGGGCCATCATTTCAAGCTAAGGAGTGTGGAAGTGTGATATTTGCTGTAGGCTGAGAGTTGTGGGGTTTGAGGAATCAGGCGGTTCGGGAGATGATAATGGAATGAGGGTGAGCAGGTGCTGACATGTTAATGCAGCGCTAAGGAATTGAGCCTGTATTGGCATGTGGCCTGCTTTGAAGTGTAGTGAAAAGCCAGAGTTGGAAAGAGCCCCTGAGTCCCAGGAGATGGATCAGGAACAGAGGAGAGAGGCTAGTTAGGCCATTATGAGAGTTTTGAGCTCTTGGGATTTGGGGATCTGCCATTTTTCATCCTTGCATTTCCATTGTTTGATCACAGCCTGTCACATTGCTCCAAAAAAATGGTTGTGCAATGACCTAGTCAGGCTAGGGATTATAAAGGTCTGCATTATACACTGGTAGAAACTGAGAGAGGAAGATGTTTCCAGAGAAAGGGGAGAGTGAGCATTGACAGCCGTCCTTGATGACTAACTGGATGGAGGGGGTGGGTGCAGCCATGTGGAAGGAAGGAAGTGGGGCGGAATGCTGGAAACCTCTTCGTACAGTGGAAGGACTGGGCATTGTAGAGGTAGTGGCTCTGGGCACTGCTGTGGAATGGTTTGGGACAAATTTGCAGGTATTGAGGAATCAGTGGACATTGTTTTTTGATGCACTGGAGTTATCTATAAGGTGAAATCTTGAGGGATGGCCCACTTGAGGGCTCTAGCCAGAAACCCACCTCCCAACCCCGGGGGAAAGATTCCTTTTTGGGGAGCCTAGAATTTAAGAACAGGAAGAATGAGCTGCAACCAAAGAAAATGGGGAAGGTGGGGGAAGGTCAGATGGCTGGGAAGGCAATTGAAGAGTTTCTGGGTGTCAGGGATTGACTGGATACCTCATAATTCAGCTTCCTTTTGCTTCCAGGGAAACTAGGTTCCTTTTTCTTTCCTTTTTTGCCAGATTGCTGCTTGTGTATTTGTTTTCTATTGCTGCTGTAACAATTTACTACAAATATCCTATATAATAAAAGCCTAATAAGCAAATTGTCCCCTCGGGCGTTCGATCTGGAGACCGGGAGTTTGACTGCTCGCTATGATGTGTGCTGACCACCAGGGGGTGGCGAAGAACATGGTTGGCGCCAGTGACGCAGTGAGCTGCGACCTCTCGCCAGTTACCTGGGGGCAGGGGTCACAGGGATGGAGGTGCGGTGAGAATTCGGGGTGTCCGCGGAGCTTGCTGTCACTCCCTCAGCTACCCTCCCCCGGGATGCCAGGGCTGCGTGCTGGGGCACTCAGGTACCTGCATGGCCTCTTTCTGGTGAGCTGGGCCGCAGCTGCAGGGACTGCAGGAGCCTGTCGGGCTCCCCTTGGTTTCGAGCAGGAGCCGGTCTGCGAGGCCAGCTGGGAGAGAGCACACTGCCCGCCCCGGACCCAGAGGCCCATGTTGCGCTCCTGACCATGGCGTCCAGCCGCGCTCAGCACATCTCCGCATGGGGACTCGGGCACTGTGACTCAGGCTGCACTCAGCGCATCTCCATGTGGGGACTTGGACACTGTGACTCAGGCGGAGAGGGGTGCATGGGGACCCTGGGGCCCTGGTGCTGCCCAGGGCCCAGAGGTCAGCTGGGACCTGCCCTTCCACACCAGACGCTCGTGTTTCCATCACCGGCCAGGCCTAGGGACCGCACCCGTGCAGGAATTTCGTGCAGGGGGCCTCTAGTAGTGTCATAAAACAACATAAATTTATAGTTTCTCTAGATCAGAGTTGTAGGCAGGCTCAGCTGAGTCGTCTGTCTGCTTAGGGTCTTACGGGGCTCAAATCAAGATGGTGGCACAGGTGCATTTCTTCCTGGAGGCTTGGGGTAGAATTTGCTTTTAAGCTCATTTGGGTTGTTGAGGAAGTTCAGTTCCATGCAGTTGTCATACTGAAGTGTTCTCATTCCTTGCTGTTAGCCAGGGGTCAGTCTTTGTTCCTAGTGGCTGCCTGCATTCCTTAACTTTTATGTAGCCCCCTCCAGCAAGGGCGGGTTCTTCTGCCACATCCCTCTGACTTTAGCCAGAGAAAATTCTCTACTAAGGACTCAAGTAGATTGGGCCCTCTGGGGTAAATCAGGATGATATCCCTATTTTGAAGTCTGTAACCTTAATTGCATCTGGAAAAGTCCCTTCTGCCATATACTGTGGCATATTCACAGGTTCCTGGGACTAGACATGGACATCTTTGGGGAATCCTTCTGCTCACCACTGCTGGCATGAGCAGTTTCAAAGGTTGTCTTCCTACCCTGATGTGGGTGTCCTCAGTTCTCAGATTTGTGTTCTCTCCAGGGTTCACTTTGGAAGTTGTGATTCTTGGTGCCTTGATTTATTGTGTTCACAGGGTTAAAAATGAGGATTTGGGTTAGGATACTTGACATATTGTTAATTATAATTTTCTTTGGTGTTTATGCTGTTGTTTAAAAGTTGGCCATCTTGGGAAATGCTTTGAACCCAAGTAATTTATAGTTGAGTGAGGGAATAACGAAAGCACAATGAAGAACTGAGAAGTTTCAATGGACGGGAAAGCATCTGTAGCTGGTTCACTGTCTCTGCCTAGCTCTTGAACATCTACCAAGAGAACAATGCTTCAGAGTGCGGGCTAAATAGCTCCCACTGAGAAAAGCCCCAGTGCCCCTGATGGCAACCAGGAAGTGACTGTTGAGACACTGATTTCAGAGTCCTGACCCTTGGCTTTCTACTGCCTCTATCTAGACTAGGAGTGAGTGACCTGAGGGATGAAAGTCCTCAGTCAACCAGCTGCTCAGGAGTCTGGGGCTTTCTCAGCAGCAACAACAACAGCACCTGCCATGTAATGGACGTGCTGTGCCAAGCCCTGTTGCAGGAATTGACATGTTAGCTCGGTGATTCTTCCTGCTTGCCCTTCCAGTGGATGTATTACTACTATCATTTTTAAGATGAGGAAACAGGCATAGAAGAGAGGCCACTGCTGCTTGTAAAAGTTATACTCTGCATGTTATACTAGTAAATGAATGCTTGCTGAACTGTAGCAGGACAGGAGAGGCTAACTGCTTTTTAACCTTTGAAAGAGAGGTCCCACCTTTTTGGGGTAGAGTGGCAATGGCAGCTGGAAGTTAACCTGAGCCCAGTGCATTGGAAGAGCTGGCTAGAGAAACCTGCTGCAGGTGGGCCTCCTGTTGGCAATTTTAGCAACTCCCCATTGGGTTGGACTTCAGATAGTGACTGGCCCCTCTGTAACTGTTTGGCACAGCACTGTTGGCACAGCACAGTCAGCCCCTACAGATATTTGGTCTCTGCAGAGGCTGCAGCCAGTCCCAAACCCCACCAGCTCCCTTTTGTAGGTGACCCAACCCACCGACCACAGCTGCAGCCCTTACATCTATTTCTGACTGTTTCTGCCATTCCTGATGAGGTGGCTGTGGCTAGTCCAGGACCCATGTTCTGTGATGGGAAGGACTATGACCACATTATTATCTGTCACAAAGGACAAGGGGGGTACCTGCTCTCTTTAAAGCATTCCTCTGGGCAATAATATTGGTTACATACCCAGAAGGTATATTTTAAAAGGAATTCCAGTGACTTTAAAAATTCAAACTGGAAAATTCAAAATCCTAAAACCAAGTAGT